GTAGTTAGTAGTTAGTAGTTAGTAGTTAGTAGTTAGTAGTTAGTAGTAGTAGTAGTAGTAGTAGTAGTAGTAGTAGTAGTAGCGGTAGTAGCAGTAGTAGTAGTACTAGTAGTAGTAGTAGAAGTATTTGTTGTAGTAGTAGTAGTAGTCGTAGTAGCAGTAGCAGTAGTAGTTGTCGTAGTAGTAGTAGTAGTAGCAGGAGTAGTAGTAGTAGTAGTGGTAGTAGTAGCGGTAGTAGTAGTAGCAGCAGTGGCAGCAGTCGTCGTAGCCGTAGTCGTGGTATTATTAGTACTCATAGTCGTAGTAGTAGTGGCAGCAGTAGTACCACTACGACTACGACTTCCACTACTACTACTACTAATAATACTACTACTACTACTGCTACTACTACTACTGCTACTACTACTACTACTGCTACGACTACTACTACTAATACTACTACTACTACTACAACTACTACTACTACTACTACTACTACTACTATAACTACTACTACTACTACAACTACTACTACTACTACTACTACTACTACTAAAACTACTACTACTACTACTACTACTACTACTACTACTACTACTACTCTACTACTACTACTGCTACTACTCCTACTACTACTACTGCTACTACTACTACTACTACTGCTACTACTCCTGCTACTACTACTGCCACTACTACCACTACTACGAGTACTACTACTGCCACTACAGGCTGGACATCCCCATCAGGATCTTCCTGGGACTATGTGGAGCACTTCGACATGTTCGGGAGAAGCAGAAGCTGGCAAAAGAAAGAAAGAGATGAGCTTCAAGCTCAAGCTCGCCATGTGGGCGGAGTGCCCAGGTCGTCATTGAAGGATAGGAAATGCTGATGGGAGAAAAGACACCAGAACACAACCAAACCCAACCTCCAAAACAACAAAACCAGAACCACAACAAAGAACCCAACCAGGCCACAACCAGACACCCATCAAAACTGGTAGTGTTTCCTCTGTGCGGGAGTAAGACAGGTGAGAAGAGTTGCTGCACACATCTGTGGGCCTGAATTCGAAAAACGAAACGAAACGTGTGTGAGTGTGGGAAAAATCTCTGAGCAGCCAATCAAATGTGGCCACGTTCTGTTGTCAAGGTAAGATCGCACTCGCCATGTCTGGGGGCTGTCGGAGCATTGCGACTTCCTGCAAAATGCCAAGGTTGAAGATCAGCAGTAATGACACTTGCCAAGGGTGCCAGAGGTTGCAAAAGCCAAGCAAGCCAAGGAAAACTCCCTCTTCGGGCACAACCTTCACAACTGATTGCACTTGCGAAGTGAGAGGCAGTTCATAAGTCTGGCAGTGGGCGCAGTGCAACAAACGGACTGCTGACCTCCCACAAGGGAGGTTTCATTCGCACCCCTTGGCACACATGTGCCAAAAGGAGTGGTTCATTCTTGAGAATGAAACGACACCATCCAACTGCGTGCAAGGCCCCTCTAGACAGTTGAGACAAAAGACCTTCCTAGATGGTTCTTGTGTTTCCACAAGATCGGAGATGGTCCTGCCGCTGCAGATGAGAAACTAAGGTTCTCTCTGGGCGCCTTCCCTTACCATTCCACCCAACAGACAAGAGACCTTGCTCGAGGTGTGGTGGTAAAGGCACCAAAAGCCAGGAGGCTGGGACTGAAGGTGCAGAGGAGCCTGCAGGTGAGGAAAACTTTTTTCCACGAGTACAGACGCCGTGTGGGCATGGTGCCCAGGTCATCATTGAAGGAAGGGAAATACAGTCAGATGGTGGAGAAGAGGACAAAGACAATCCAACAAAAAACAAACTAGACGACGAGTGGCCCGAAAGCATTTTTCATCACGTAGGAAATCAGAGTGCGAGTTATCCGGTAAGTGTGTAGTGAGAAGTGTTAAGTCGAGTGAGTTGAGGTAGTGTGTGGGTTTCTGTGCGTGTGTCTATGTCCGTGTGGAAACGAGTCTGCGTATGTGTGCGTTCGTGGAAGTTGAGGGAGTGTGTGGGTGTTTGTGTGCGATGCGGCCTCCCAAACCCCCCGGCGGCCAAGCGGTGACAGCCCAGCTCATCGTCGTGAGCATTTGGGCTGCTGGTAAGGGGACAATGGCAGCCAGCGTGCTGGCTTACCCACTTCAACTATGATGGCAGCCAGCGTGCTGGCTTTGCCATCTGGACAATGG